TATCTGAGCTATTTGAGATACATACACATAAAGATCAATCATTATGGCTGCTGATAGATACTTGTGGATTTAAGAGTAGAATTGGCGATGAAGACGGAATTATAGATAATGTATCTGTAATATTGATAGACATTTACATAAAAGATACATATTTGTTCACAGCTCAGGTACGCATGTAAAAGTATCTGCAGAAAAGTGTGTCAGATACTGCAAGACATACATATGACTAGATTAGATTAGTATGATTACAAAATTTTCTATGAAATATGTAATTAATCAAAACAATATATAGATACATTTCGAGCAACTGCAAAGATACAGATAAAGTATCTATTTAATAGTCTAAAGTAGTCTAAAGTAAACTATATATAGATATAGTATTTTGGGAATGTACGAGTCTAAAAAGTATATATAAAAGAAGGAGATTACTAAGTAAAAGCAATTAAAGTCAGAGCAAAAATTATGAGAATGAGAATTATGAGTGTCTTTGAAATAAAGATGCAGATAAAATATTTCATAAATAGGCAGAAAGATGTACAATATGTAACTACATAAATATATATAGATGTATCTACATACAATTATATATTATTCAATAATAATTCTCATCCATAATATTTCTTCTACAAACAATATTATCCAATATTGCTTCGTTGCATTGCTTAAGATAAAGTACATATTGATTGAGATACATATCGAGCAACAGCTTGAGATAAAATAACTGCGAATGTGCGCAGTTCACTTGAATCAAAACAAAAAGACAAAAACAGAAAACAGCTGAGTTAATAACGGCTCAATTGCTGGCTAATAACATGTATATAAAGATATATACATTTATAAATATATGAAGTATATAAGCAAAAGCGAAATTGAATGGAAATTGAAATTGAAGTGAAAAACTGGTTGCGATCGTTACGATCCACAAAGGCAGCGAGCGGGTGGGCGGGTGCACAATAATAATTAACCAGCTGTAGGAGCCGAGATATTGAGATGCCGGCTCGAATGAGTGAGTCAAGCAGCGGTGGATGCTGCGCTTCGCTGCTGCTGCATTTGATCAGATTTATTTAATTTCGATGTGTATTTGTTTTTTGTTTTGCTTTGTCTCAAAAGCACTCGGTCAATTCATATTGGCAATTTGCATATTGTGTTGTTGGCATTTATGAGCGTTGTTTACATTTTGGCAATTGGCAAAAGCCAAAAAAGATGTGCACAGATTTTAAGTGAGCATAAAACTAAATATATATGTATGTATAGGTATGTATATAGTACTTTATGTGCTGTTGCTGTAAACACTTGATATTTGTAAATATATTTCTTTTGAACTTTCGAGCAATTTCAAAATAATTGTTGATTAATTAAAGTTAAGTGCGCGACATTTTCAATAAAATTGGTTTTGATTACTTTTCAAATTTAGTTTCAATTCACTTCAATTGAGCGTGCACAGTTATTTAATTTAAAGAATTTCCTTTATTGTTTACTTTGCGGGCAGCAAACTGAAAAACGTGCGCGATCGATCGACTGACGGCTGCGGCGAACTGCGGCAAACTGCGGCGACAAAATGTTCTATTGGAATACACGCTCACGTTTGACAAATTGCGCGCGTGAGGAGCTATCGATGCGACCAACCGACCCGTCCGACCATCCGTCTGACTGACTGCGTCTACACTGAACAACCAACTGTGTGTAACAGCAACAGCAAAAGCAACATCAAAAGCAAAAGCAGCGGCATCGGCATCGGCTGGGGGCTTTTGGCTTTGGGCCGATCGTCAATTGCGCTGCACTTTGAATTTCATTTGCTGCCTGGCGCCTGGCAATGCTTATGCCGGCTTGTGCTCTCTGACGGCTAGCCCACCCGCTCTCTCGCACGCTATCTCTATCTCGCTCGTGCGCTCTCTCTTCGCGCACAGCTGTTGCTGGCGAGCGCGCTCTCTTCGCCACTTGTGGCTTAGTCAAAGTCAATTAGTTACGCTCTTTGCTTGCGTTTTGTGTTGTTTGTTTATGTTTGTTTCGCGCATATCTCGCTGCCGGCTGACTAAGCGTTTTTATGTTGTTGTTGCTTGGTTTGCTTTAGAGTTTTAAGGAGATGATTGACGGACGTCTGTCTCGCTCTAGCACAAGCGCTGCACAGTGAGTCTTGTTTTAGTATTGCTAATGGCGACGTCTTTTAAAGTAACGGCTTGTAATTCAAAGCTTGCAGCGCCAGTAAAACGACTTTGGCGCCCAATCTAACCTTAGTTGACCGTGCTTGCATAGAGCGGCAGCTAAAGGAGGAATGTGGAACATATAAAAAAAAGTTATGCAGGCACTGAAGATGCTAAAGAAAGCCATCAGAAGGCCATGATATGCTTTTAAATAAATGAAAATCACTTTTCCAAATCGAATTTATGGCATTGTAAATAGGCAACACTTCGAGTGCCAAGCCCTGTATAAGAAGTTGTTGTCGAGCAGAGGCTTCACTGTGCTTGCAGCTCAAGCATTTCAAACAATACTTTTTGTTAGCTCAGACTGTTTTTCTGTTATTCACCGAATTTCACAATATTTAACACATTTAACGCCGAGTTAAACGAAACGCTGCTCACAATTAGCAACTCGGGCATAGCCCTAACGAACTGCGGTTATTTAGGTTTGTAAATGTATCTGTTGGATACACAAGTGAGCGCATGTATCTAAAGAGGCGATCACGTCAGTTGCTAAACGAGCAACAAATGTGCGAAAATCAATTGATGAGGCCATGTCTCGGCAGCATAGAAAGGCGCTTTGTATAGCCCGTAGAGTGCCGTAATTGAATTGAAAACTGTGTTAATGTGACCAGCAGCAAAAGTATCTAACAGATGCACAGATGCAGACACAGATACAGAGACAGACACAGCTACAGATGCAACAAATTGCACAAGCATGAAAGCATGCATTTGACTCAATCGCAGATCTGAAGATACCGCAGCATGAGTTGCCACATCGCCATGGAACTGCCGGAGTAGGGCATTGTAGGGTGTCCACCCTACAAGTTGTCAGCGCCTGACAACTTCACAAATTAATATGCTCATTAATTAGAAAGCCACGGCGGCGTAAATAAAAGTGTGCGTAAAAGTGCAGACGCTGCACAGCATACGTAATTAATTTGCCATGATTGGTCAGGCAGCCCAGGCCAGAGCGACAGAGATAGACATGCGAGAGCGAGACAAAAGAATGCTCGAGCAATGAGCAAGTATTCAAAGCAGCTAACAGCAAAAGGGCACCGACGAAACACGGCTAAAAGTGTTTAGAATTTCTGGCATCTTGTCAAGTGTCGCCAAAACATTTGGCAAAGCATCCAAGGGGCATGGAGTGGGGTGGGGCGGCAGTTGAAGGGTGAGAGAGTGTAAGGCAAATTTTGCACTTGTTGCATTTGCGTACTTTGTGTGGCATTTGAAATTGTGAGGCATTTGTGCATCTTTCTTGATCTTGTTGCCAATATGCCCTACTACATTAGGGGTAGTCCGCTACTTGAGTGGGATGCGAAAATGCTAAATATATAATTGGGTTAATGTGGAGTTGAAGCTTGCTAGAGATTATTCAAATAATATTTAGTTTTTTATTATTATTTATATATTTTGCTACAAAAATACATTTTTGCACTCCAATATGTAAGAGCATAGCATATTCTATCATTTTATGTTTTACAATTTCTGTTTGCAATTTTTAATAGCTCTTTTATGGCCACGCCTTGTTATCATTAATTTTCTTGGCACCCAAATAAAATTATAAATCGTCTTAGATAATGTTTAGCCATGCACTTCCAACTAGAGAGCTCTTTCCTTAGGTTTTATATTCTTAATTTACTATAAAATTAGTGCGTTACGTATTTTTAAGTTTGTGATTTATTTTTGTCACGCGTACAGCGTGACGCACATGACAACAAAAACAACCAATAGAATTATCTATTTTTTGTGCTCGTTGAACACCTTAATGGACACTGAGAAGAGCCAAAAATTGAACAGATTTAAGACAGAATGAGTAAAAGCATTAAAAACAGCAGATCATAATTTTTAAATTAGGTAAATGTGGATGTAGATGTAATAGAGAAGAAGAAGCAGAAAGCGGGCTAAACTTGGTGAGGAATAAGTCAAATAGGGAATAGAAGAAATTGGAGATATATGTGAGGTATAGGAAACAAATCTTCTAGAGAATAAGAGATTTATCCTGAATTAAACGAAATAGAGAATACAACAGAAATAGATTAATACGGTTTAAAAAGAAAGGGAACAGAAGCTCAGAAAAGTTGGGAAAAATTGATATGTCAAATTAAAAATCCTTAAAACAATAATAGAACGGAATTTACTGACGCCCAATTGAAGGCAAAATTATGTACTCAAAAACCAAGTATATTGTGTGATATATGAGAAAAATTTTGCAGTTTCTAAATAAAAGCTCTGGTATAAATAAAAAAGTAACACCATTCATAAAAGATTAATAATTAACGGAAGCGCGTCCCAAAATGGCGTTGTGTTATGGAAAGGTTCAATGAGGATTTCATTTTTACTTTTCTTTGCTTGGCTTTGATGAACAGGGTTGCCACCTAGTCAACAAATAGTGGTAGGCCTTGATACGCAACAGAAAGGGGCGCACACTGCCAGCTGTTAGTGTGCGTGTGTGTTAGAGAAAACGTGCCTGGCTAACAGTTGCGAGCTTGTTGAAATTGTATTCAAAGAGCTTAAGTTTTCAATGCCAGAGCCAAAGACAGAGACAGAGACAGAGACAGCAACAGAAACAGAAAAACAAAGACAAAGACATCGAATCTAATCGATTTAGTGGGCCGCCGCAAGGCCTGCCCATAGCTAGCATATGCCACCCGGGCCATTACTCATGCATATGGTAGGCGCATGTCCCGATACAAGCTGCGATTAAGACCACAAGGCAGAGCCATAAAAACTGGCCAACATTCTCAGCAATCAGACAGATAAAGGACTTTAAAAAAATAAAATGGGTTTTTTCCTTTTTATTTCTCTGTTGGAGAAACTTACCATTTCTGTTCTCACTGTCTGCCGGCTTCATTTGAATGGGATGATGCATCTGTAAAAGGCAAAGGAAAGAGAGAGATGGTTAAGTCAGAGCAAGATAGCATTAGCAGAGCAAAGAGCATGGAGCTCTGCTCGGGTTTTCCATTTTAACAGTTGCCAACAGCTGCGGAATTGCAATTCAGACTCAGGTTCTATGCAAGACACATGAGTTCTGTTCCTCCCTTACACTCACACACTCACACACTCACACACCCACACACACACACAGAGAGAGACAGCCATCCTGCTGATAAGTTTTTCAGTTACCTTTCCATTTGCTATGCTTTGAAGATTTCATTACTTTGATACGAACTAAAGTGCAACAAGAATATTGCCACAAAAGGCAAGTGCAAAGGCCAACAAATGTTCCGAAAGGCAAAGGACGGAGGAGTTGGATTCTGCTATGTTGGGCAGGGGCCCTAATGTAAAAATCAAGAGTCCATTTCATTAACGTAGCCATTAGCACTTCTCCAATTCAACGCGCAGCCTTTAACAATTTTTAATTTATTTTACATTCATTGAGCAAACCGATAGGGCTCTCAGTCCCTATGCTAGGTCTTGAAGGGATAGATAGGACAGGCGGGGCAGTGGCAGCACTTGGCAAGTCCTGCTGCCATTACTTTGATTTCAATTAACTTTTCATTCAGTTAAGAGGCGCCAACAGCGGCAAATGATAATAATAATACTTACAATCATATTAGACTCGCGTCAATTGATAGTCTTCTACTTCTACATTTTTTATAGCTTTGGCAAGAGTTTTTTGAGAAAATAAGTAGAATATGATCGAATAGAAGATACCCCATATCTTAAATGGAAACCAATCAAATAAAAAATGTAAGGCAGAATAACCGATAGCTAACGAATTTTTGAAACTAAAAAACATAAACAAAAATTATTAAAAATAATTTAATTTTAGTTAATAGCGTATAATTTTTTATTTGCCAATTTGTAAACTGAAATCAATTATTTTCGATAATTATCGATTATGAGATCTGTAGATCTGTGTGGTTAAAGTCTAATGTATTAATTAAGATTAATTTGATTTCATTGTCAATGCGTATATACTCAATTTCTACCTAGTTAACATAAAGATTGTATTAATCGATACTTATCGATGTGCAAAAAGATATAGACTAGAGAATTTCATGGTTGAAAATTTTGTAATTGAAGTCTTATTCACTGAAAATTTCATGAATTTGTAAAGTAGGCAGCAGAGAAAAACTGAGAGTTATAGAGTAGATGAACTACGTATCAATATACGATCTTCTCTTTTGCACAGACACACTCACACTTACATAACTCTTCTGTATACTCTTTTTTCCAAAGGGCCACGCGGAAGCAAAAACTTGACCGTGCGACGACAAAGAGCTACGCTAAGTGAATGAATGAATGAGTGACTGGCTGAGTGAGTGACTGACTGATTGAACGAGTGAATGGGTGACTGAATGAGTGACTGTTGTGTTGAAGTTGAAATTGAAATGAAATGCTCAAGAACTCGACAAGTTGTGCTTGATGTCTGGCCTCGCCGGCCTAGCTATACAGCTGGTTGGCTAGCCTGTCTGTCTGTCTATCTGTCTGGTCAAAAGGTTTTGCACAAATTACGAGAAAATGTCATTGCTTCAGCTGCTGCTGGCAGTGCCACAAATTGCCTTCCACTCTCTCACATTGTTGCGTCATTTTGCTGCTCTATTATTCAAAATTGGCAGTTGAATGAGTTAAGTGGCCTGTCCAGGATATCGCTCCGGCTGCTACTCTTTTCCCAGCCCATAGAGCGCCAAGCCCCCGCTCTGCTGAGTCCCTTCCCAAATTAGCTGTCAGTTTGTGTAAGGCTCTGCTCTGGATATGTGTTGAACCCGTGTACCCTTTTCACTCTAATGACAATTAGCCTAGCAAAACGATTTGCTTCCAAACTGTTCATTTATTTGCATTTCTTTGGCAGTTCCTAATCTATTTTTTTTTTTGTTGTTGTTCGATATTTCATGTGTGATTGCCGTTCAAATTGTCAATTAGCTGTAAAAATATACCTAACTGTTTACTTTTAGCTAGGTCAACACGAAAGACGCGGAAGGATAAAGAAGAACACTGCAAGAATACTAACAGAATCTATATAAATTATAAGAAAAAACTAAAAACTAAATAATAAATGTTCATTGTAATTAAAATAAAATTAGATGTGACAGCATCATGATTATTTATTTTAATTTAATTTAATTTTGTAAAAAATTAGCTCAAATTTTCTAGAGTACTAGCTGAGATAAAGAGAAAGATAGAAAAATAGAGCGAGAGAGAGAGTGAGAGAGAGAGAGAGAGAGAGAGAGAGAGGAGAAATAAAGAAGTTAAACTAACGCAGAATGAAATATAATTAAATATTAAAAAAAAAAATCAATAAAATAATAAATAGAAATTATACAAATATTCAAATTACTGAATTATTCAAATAAAGTTCCAGCTACTAGTATATTATAATATTAAAACATTTACTAAATCACTCACTAAAAATAATTAAATTTTTTTTAAAGATTCATTTCTTAAAGATCTCTCTATCAACTATGTTTGTCCCTCTCGCTCACATGCTTCAGAGCAAATACATGTAAAGCCAATACAAAAAAATTATTGCATACTTTTGGGCGGGACAAAAAATAAATCGCATTTGTCGAGTTTTACAGTGTAATCACTTTTCCGGGCAATCCAAGTCCGTCACAACTGCGTCTTTTCACACGTGCCACACAACAAGGACAAAACCAGAAAAAAAAAAACCCGACCGAAAGGGCCACTTAACTCACACATACACGGGCGTAGACTTATACACATGTACGCATGTGGTCTATATATAGAGCGAATTGGTCAGTTCAAAACAAAATATTTATTGAAGCCGTTGACAAGTTGGCCCACACAAACATGCAGATGCCTGTGTGTGTGATTGTGTGTGTTGCGTCCGTGTGTTTGTATGTGAAAATACCGACGTTTTAACGTCTGTTTACCTATCGATTATTTCAGGTAAATTAAGTAGCTCTTGCAGAGCAGCAGACATTGGGAGGCCTTGGTGGTTATTCAGGCAGCCTGCCAAATGCATTAAGGGATCAGACATCCCCACACTCACACACACACACATGCATAGCTGGGCACTTACTTATACAAACAAAGTGCTTGTATATATAACCACATACATACATACATACGTATATACATATGTATATACCTGGGTATTGATCATTATTTTGACAATTACACATGTGGCGTCATTTGCCACGTCCTTTCTCCCCCACTATCCCTCCCAATCCTCTCACTCTTGCTCTGTCGCTTACTTGCTTTAGTGCCATTGGATTTTCCATTAACAATTTGAATATGTAAATGAAGTAGCTGACTGCGAGCTGGCTACAAAGGCTAGCTAGTCGTACATACCTATAGACCGATATGTGAGTATGTATTTTGAGTAAGGGTACTCCCTTTACAGTGTTTGCCTGTGCGTGAACGCTTCATTTAATACGTTAACAATGAGATTGTCCTCAATAATTGAATCCACTAATTGACTGATGATTACATTTGTGTTGGCCACACAACAACAGAGCGACGGCCACGCCCCCACGACCATGTGTATAACTCACTCTCTCTGCGTGTGTATACATATCGAATGACTAGCTATTAGAAATTTTAGGTACATTGTGGTAAACTATGTCATTCGATCGATCGATATGCGCCAGTGGTTGACTTTCTCAAGCTGCATTATTTATAAAGCATAATATATCAAATTTTACGAAAGTGAAATACGGAGAAAAAGTAGAAAGAGAAATAACACACACAGTTACAAATTACATACAGAAGTAATACATACGAAACACATACATACACATACAGAACGTAAAACGAGCAAGTCAAAGCGCTAGCTACATATATGTAAAATGATAGAATATTGTTGATTGGGGGTATGCCCTTTGTTGTACTTACCCCATCCAAAGTTTTGATGTTGTGCAGCGCATCCTGGGCCCGCAGAGCCGCCTTGCGCGTATAGTAGGTGACAAAACAGCACCCTGCAAACGAAACAGAACGAAACAATCGATACAAATCGATACAAGAAATAGGCAAGTCGATAACAAAGTTCAACAATCGATAGACAATTGCACAAACATATGATACAAGGACGTCAAAAGTAAACTATTCATTGGGACTGTAAACATTGCACACTTCTCTATAGATCTCTATAGATATCGCGATATACATATATAGTATATATCATGCATGGAACAAACTTTTTGTTTATGTAAATACAATTTAACTTGGGCATGCAACAGCTTTTGTACGCTAAATGTTTGTTGTGTGACGAGAGACGAGCGCATCATGCGAGCCATGCAGAGATAATGATGGAAAGATTGAATATGTAGGTGGTATATATAGAGATATATATGTATATATATAAGTATATACATTTGTAAGCATATACATATGGCGGCTGCTGCCTAAAAGTTTTATGCGCGATATGTCATGATTAAACGGACACCACATATGTGCAGCGAGAATAATAGTCGGCTCTATTACGATTACTAAAGGACAATAGTTGATAAAAATACATATTTGTCTGTATGGACAGATGGTTAGCCTAATAGCTGCTAAAAAAAAACTTTATATATGACACCTAATTTAGTTAGAATACAATACAGTCACGTATATTATACTAACGATATATCGATAACATGCCATGATCAATACAAATATTGAGTATGATAATTCGATCTTTTGAAGTGAGATGATAAAGAAAGATTTTGCCACTTTGAAATTAAAAGCCAACTAATGATAAATCTTTGTATGTTGTATATTTCTACATCAATTTTCAAAAGTCACATAACTGTATTGCATATAAATAGCCAACTATAATTAAACTCTTCCTATATATCCAAAAAACATGTGTAAAGATATAAGACATATGTATGTGTGGTTATCAGATTTAAATTTATCATTTTGAAAAAAAAAATATAAAAAAAAATGGAATAAAACAACAAAAACAACAACACATTAGATATATACTTCTACCATAAAATGTCCAAAAATTTTTTATTAAACTTCCTGAAAGCTGTATAAATCGATAGACGATAGCTTATTTATTAATGGCTTTGCTGCACGCTGCAAGCCTCAACATCTCAGCGTCGCCGGTAATCGCCTTACGCTACCTTCACTTATATTCAATGTGTATTAAGCCCGGCCACAAACAACTCTTATGCTGCCATAAGCCTAATCTGCTCATGTGAAGAAGATGGAGATGCAGAATGAGAAGGAAAAGCAGAAGGAGAGGTGACGGAACCGCAACTATAAGTATATCCGATCATTGAGAGGCAACAGCACGCCTGGCCATAAATATGCGTAATACAATTTCAACTTTTCATAAAAGTTTGCAAGCAAATGCCCAAATTATTCAAATACCCAATAGAATTAATCCAGCTCGATGTGTGTGCGTGCGTGAGTGTGTCCGTGTGTGTGTGTGTGTGTGTGTGGCAATTATGGCCAATTACCATCGAGGCTGGCAGAGAGAGAGAAAGAGTGAGAGAGAAAGGAAAAAAAAAATGCGAGTCAACACCTGTTCTGGAGCGTGGAAGGTGTTAGCCCTAATGTTGGTGTGTGCGCTCGCCATAATCATATTACTTGATGTTAATGTAAGGCCCCGCACCTGGCTTAAAAGGGTGCACCACGGAATTTACGGGCGTTGTTAAAAATCATTGAGAGGGGGCCAAAGAAAGAGAAGGAAAAGGAGTAGGGCTGATATGGAGAGAGGAGAAGAGATGTAGCGAGGAGCAGAGATGGTCTGCCCCTAGGGCCCCGTTCGCCAATTAATCCGCACATTTATATGCGTGCACTCACCTCGGCTAATCGATGTGACCTTATCTCGCAGCACATTCAGCGTGTGGACCCGTCCGAACTGCTCGAAGAGGCGTCGCAATTTGAGCTCATCCCATGTCTTGGGTATCTGACCGACAAACATTTTAATGTTGTCCGCATCCGGCTGATCCTTGGCCAGTTCCGTATCGCCAGCCGTTGTGGTATCCATGGCATCCGTTGCCTCGCATTTAATGGCGGGCAGAGGGTCCGGCTGCTGCGTCTCCGTCTCAACGCTATTCGAGTCGCTGCAAAAGCCACAAAAATAAAGTCATTATAAATCAGGCAATTTTCACACACACACACACACACACACACACACGCACACACATTCATATCTATAGAAGTTGCTGGCCAAAAAAAGTTTGCCCGGTAATTCCATTGAACTTTTATGGCCAACATATTGAACATGGCTAAAACAAAGCTTTGCTTCTACCCACTCGTTCGCTCTCTGTTTGCTAACTTCATTTGCTAATGACAATAAAAAACAACAAGCTGGACAACAATGCTTGGTGAGGCGTGAATGGGAGCTCGATATGTGTGGGCGTATCAAAAGAGAAAGAGAGAGGGATAGAGAGAGAGAGAGAGAGATAGAGATGGCGAAGCTGCGCAGTGCATAAAATACAAATACTAATTGTTATTAGCAAACTAATCTAATCTAAAAAGTTGTAAGCGTTTTTATTTTGTTTCTCTGTGGCTGACCACTACCCGCGCCTTAATGTGTATGTATGTGTGTGTGTGTGTGACTTGTGTGTGCTTGTGTGTGTGCGTTGAATGGACCATTTGTGGCTTCACTTGGTTACTTCACTTCGAGTTTTTGTATGTTTCGCTCCTTCTATATTTTGGGGTTTTATTGGGTGTTGTTGATGGCCACACAAAATTGACTTTTGCTTGATGTCAACAGTAATTACCACAATAACAATACCAACAACAACAACAACACTAACAACAACACAATTAGCCACAACAAGCACACAAACATGCTGCTTTAGCAAATAAGCTCAAGTTGTCAAGCAGTGAAAGCAATAAATTTGAAATCTAATTGGTTTTCATTTTATTGAAGAGAATTCCAAGTGGATTGAATATTTAGGGAAAACCATTCTAATTGGATATCCACAGAAAGGGTTTATTAATAAAATAAGTCAGTTTTAAGATTGAATTTGGTAAAATTATATTAGTTCAAGTTGAGGTTAATGTAAGGCGTTTCATTAAAATTTATAAAAGAAAAGCTTAATATATAAATTAGTTGAGGTTTATTAAATGAAAGTCAAGTCAATGAAAATACAAAAAAATTAAATTATTTATATTAAATATTTGCGTATATTAAAAATGAATTTAAACAATACTTTCTCGTTGCTCAAAATTCTTATATTTCCATTAAAAATTTATAAATATTTGTTCGTAGATCAAATTATTTAATAATTTATTTTATACATAAAATATGTTTTAAATTTATTGTTCATAAATTGTATTTTTATTTGCTTCCATTGATTTATCTATTATAACTTAAGCTTACTAAAGCTCTTAAATTGTATTTTGTGTATATCTGGGAAATTTAAAAGTCTTAAGTCTGCCCTGCCTTTCTCCAGGAACCCTCCGCAACTGCTAAATGAATTAAGCTATTCGCCATTCCGGATATTATCCAATTCAGATGGTATCTAGCTTAATTTTGCTTTCAGGCGCACAGCATTTATGAACCTGGTGCCAGCGGAATTTACGAGCTCAATGAAGCTCTCCAAGGATGTCAGCGGGCACGCCTACTTTCTTATATTTATTGAGCGCGACAATGCCCGAGGGCGGCAAATGACAAAACGAACTTAATCTATTAGAGGCGGAGCGTGTCGCTGCCAAATAGTCTAGTGTCAAGGTGATAAATATTGCCCACAAGTCAAATGCAAAGTAGGCCAATGGGCGGGCCAGGCAGCAGCGGCAGAGGCAGAGGCAGAGGCAGAGGCAGTTTCAGCGCAGCTAACTGGGTATCTAAGCTGGCCCGGCCTGGCAGGCATAAATCAAAATCTGCGCCCAGCACGCAATTTTCTGTTGCCTACTTTTCGGGGCGCGCGCTTTAAATAAAAACGTTCAACGAGCCGGAGGGGCAGGTGGGGCAGGTGGGGCAGGAGAGGGCCTACAGGTGCGCGACAGGTGTCGCTGTTGCCCCGCAGGCAATTATTTCGCATTCAAAGTCGCACTGCCGCCTGGGGAATCCATCAGAGAGTCAGCGGCGCGCAATGGCTGCTCTCAGGGGAGCTGCGATGCGACGAGGGCAACAAGCAACGGCAGCAACTACTCAAGCCGGCAACAGTTGCTGCCTGCTGGCTGCTGGCAGCGACTTGCGTCTTCGGCTCGCTGGTTTTCTTCGCATTACTAATTCAGTTTCATTTAAATGCGCCGCAGCCTAATGAGAAAATTGCCTGCGGCGGGCGCGCACTGGGATTTGCTTGAGCTTAGGCCGGGCAGGTGTTGGATTGCTGTGGCTCGATTAGAGGCTCGGCATTGCGCGGTAAAATGTTTTCTGCTGCAGGCTGCTGCCACATGCGTTGCCATTCAAGTGGATGCGGCGGCTGTTTCTGCTGCTCCTTCTGTGGCTCTTGCTATCTATGCAGCGCCCTTTTTGGACACGCCCACGCCACGTCAATGCTGGCGCCGACAAAGCCGTGACGCGGCATTTAATTTATGATGGCAGTTTGTTATGTCGCGCCTGTCACAACAAAAACAAACAGTTCACGGCGCGAGATAGAGGACGCTAGTGACACAGAGAGACTCGCCGAGACAGCAGGATAACAGCCAAGTGGCTGGAGTGGGCGATTGCAGCAAGGCGCATAAAAATGACCCAACATAAATTTAATATTCTTGCTTTATTATTTAATGGCAGCGCAGCACGCTGTAGCAAAAATGACAACAGAGAAACAGATAGAGAGAGAGCGAGAGAGAGAGACATGAGAGTGAGTGAGAGGGAGTGGCAGTTGCCCATTGGAGGGCTGCAGCTATGCTCTATCTGCATTACAGCTTGTCACGTTGTCTTATCAACCACAACATCTTCATCATCATCATCGTAATCAGCATCATCATCATTATGATCAGAGGCGGTGCAGATAATGCAATGTTTTAATTAGCAGCGGCTGTCAATGATCATTAGCCGTGATGACGCTGCGACCTGCCCCCATTTGCCAATTAATAAACTTAATGCAATGCCAATTATCGTTAGTCAGCAGCGACCAAAGACTCTGCACTCGGCACGTTGTCACTTATTTTAATTGAATCGATTCCATTCGATTCGCTTCGCTCTGTGGGCCACCCGCTCAAAAATGGCTGCCAACCAAATGGGCAGTTCACTTGAGCTGCTGCCACGGCTGCCTCTTGCTTCTGCTCTCCACTATTTTTTTCTCCTGCTTATAATTTCCGGGCAAAGGAACTTGTCGTAATGGGAAATGATGCAGCGGGCCATGGCGTAACAATTTGAAATTCGATAGCGTCGAGGGTTTTGGATATTTCGCAGAAAGGAAATTGAAATTGATATCTATCTAGCTAATATGCAAATTGATAAGAAATTAGCTAAATTATTGAAGTTTCAGAATGCAGTACGCGAAGTGTTGATGTTCCCTGTTACGAAATGGACCAGAGCTGAAGTAAGCGAAGATGCAATTGTTTTTAGCCCGCATCATAATTGGGTAAGAGAAGAGCTCTTAATATTTGATGAATGCTAATGGCACCAGTCGAGAAGTTGTGCATGTTCCATGTGGAACCTTTATAAATATACCGATTCAATACTATATAGATCATGGAAAGGCTCATGGTTTCATTTAGAGCAACGAGAACAACCTTATCAAATCAATCAAACATCAAAAAGAGTGTACTTGACAATTATTAATATTAGAAATTTACTAATTAGAGGCAAGGAACTAGTCAAGCTGTATTCCATAAAATATTTACAGGTAACTATAATTTTTTATTTTTCTTTTAATCACAGACTTTATTTCGTAAATATATTTTTGAAGGATTTTTATAGAATAAAGAGTTATGTAGCTCAATTACCATAGATAAATTATAAACAGACATTTAATAGTTATTAAAGCAAGTCCCACGATAATAGGTCTTGAAGGTGGTGGCGCCTGAGACTTTTTCTAGAGTTTTAGAGGGGAGCTAGCCAAGCCGTAGGCTGCCATGCCTTAACGCCCAACTCGGCCAGTCGGTCGACTCTGTGAATCCAGTCTTTTGAAGATATTTTGATTTTTAATTTTTTGTCATTTCTTGTTTATAGTGTCTATTTTTTAACATCTTCAGGACTGGCTTCATAGCCCTGGTTATCGTGTACTAATTATTTTTATCCCCGCCTTCGCCTAGCTTGATCTTACAGTCAAGAGACCCCAAACTTCAATATATGGAATGGATATACCACTATTGACTATACAATGTTAAAAATGAATAAATAATATATGAATAAGAGTCTGTAAGGATTTCGAGTCCTATACTAAATTCCACGAAATCCAGGCCTAGTCCAATACATTTGAACTGTCATTCCACACTGTAGCTCTACAATGTCCTGCTTTAGCTACATATAATAAAATTCTAGTGTGGTTTCATACAGTTCGCTTCACGCCAACATTAAATATAAATTTCTAAAGCCTACTTTAAAGAACTCGCCGACTAAATAGATAAAGTTCGCGTTACGCCAGGCGAGGAGACCAAAACAAACAAATCATTCGAATGCAATTTGCAGTCATTAGGCGAAAAAAAAGTAAAGTAACGCAACCGAATGGAGGCGGTGCTGGGTAGGCGTGACTCACCAATTTGTGGTGTCGCTGGCGCTCTGGTCGGCTAATGAAGTTCTGGAATTAATGCTGGAATTTAGCAGCGTCGATGTTGCAGTCGCTGATGCTGCTGTTGCTGTTGGTGCAGCTGCGGTTGCAGCAGCTGCCGCTTGCGTTGGCTCTGCTGCTGCTACTGCTGCTGCTATTGCAGTTGGTGTTGCTGCTGCTGCGGCTGGTGGTACGGCAGCGACGGCAGTGGCAGCGGCAGCGGCTGCATTTGCATTGGAATTTATTTGGTTGTGCAAAAGTGTTTCGAACAATGTTGTCGACATGCCGACGCCAACGCCGCCAGCAGTTTTGGTCATTGTCGTTGTTGCTGCTGCTGCTGTTGCTGTTGCTGCTGCTGGTATGCTGCTGCTGGGCCGCAAATATGGATGAAAACTTTTCGCAGCACCTGTAAAAGTTGTTGCCGTCGCAATGGCGCCCGTGGCAGGCGTTAGATTTTCTAAATACTTTACTGGTGGCTGCTGTTGTTGTTGCTGTTGCAAATTGTTATTGCTATTTAAATTGTTAATGTTGTTGCTGCCGTTATAGAGACTGCTGCCATTGGCCATACCATTAGCGACAAGTGCAACAGGTGCTGTTGTTAGCATTGTTGTTGCTGTTGTTGTTGCTGCTGTTGTCGATGTTGTTGTTGCTGTTGCTGTTGCTGTTGTTGTCGCTGTGTCTGTTGCTGTCACAGCAGTTGCCACTGTGCCGCTTGTTGCTGTTGTTGCTGGAATGCCGCTTAGTTTGTCCGTGCGTTGTTTCAAGGATTGCAACATCATTTGTTTTATTTCACCTTTTTATTATTATTGCTTTCCCCCTCTCTCGCTCTCTCTCTCTCACTCTCTCTCTCTCCCGCTCACACACTTTGTAGTTCGGTCTCCCTCTGCAGTTGTTGCTGTCGCTAATTACTTTTAGTGCTGCTGCAACTGTTGCTGTTGCTATTTAGCGATGCTCCCCTTTTAATTTTCTGCGGCTTTTATTTTTATTAAAATTGTATATTATCTCGCATTTAATTGCTCCGCTGGGCGTTTCGTTTATCACAGTTTTATCCCCTACTAAAAACTTATTCACATCTCTCCCACTCTCTTTCGCTTATTTTTTCTACACTTTTTATTTGTTTACTCTGATTTGTTTTTGTTTGCATTAGATCAACACTTTGCACTAGAAACCGTCAGAGTCCACGACGGCTTAGCTGCAACTGTAATTAAATTATAAGAGAGAAAAAAAAGATTAGTTAATTATTGTTGATCGACATGGCAAACATTAATTGTAGCTAACTAGTTATTATAGAGCAGTTAATAAATACAAATTTATACATAGTATGAATAGAAGAAATAAAAGGATTTCCAATTCAAGTTGAGGTTGGAGTCAAAAAACTTCTCAATTTTTACTAATAATAAAAATAAATTGGATGAGCTGTTGACTGATATAATTCAAAAATAAGAATATTTAAAATTTATAATAATATTGATTATGTTTATTTATATTCTGTTTCAAGTTTTGTATGCCGTAAAATTAAGATTTCAGACTCATAAATTTAATTTAAATGCAGATAACAATTACTTTAAATTCTTTTAAAGTTGCATATATTTATTTAATGTTTTCGCAAATTAATTGAAATTAATGGCCTTTAGTTGAACAAAATAATAGGGTGCCATTTATTGACATATTACAAAACAATATTAAAATACTTGCATTAAGTGCGTGTCATAGATAATTTAATTAAAATTTGAGTTAAGCACTTGATGCAAAAAACGAGAAGAGCAACCACATAGTTAAACAAAACTGATGTGATTTTTTATAATTAGATTTTTATTAGTTATTTGGTTGCAGCCACAGTCGAAATGGCAGCCAGATTGAGTCGTCCTTTCGCAGCTGGAGCAGCAGCTGCATAGCTAAGCGCATTTCAATGGACGCATATTGACAGACTGACCGCAGTGGCTGGCCACTTGACTGTCTGCATTGAAGTGCTTGGCTTTGATAAAGCGCCAGCACACACACACACACACACACACATGTCCGTTGTGGAGTGGCATGTAAACTGAACATGTTTGTAGCTGCCGCTAAACAGATAAGCATTTGAGTGCTTCAAAACACAAACACACACAAGCGCACACACACACACACACACACACTACTATATACATATATAGATTTATATACATTTTACCGCTGGCGTTCAGACCATGCGCTCAGCCATTCGCATTATGTTGAAGGCCCCAGCTAATTAGTTAAATTGAAATCAAATTATTTGTTGTCGCACTTGACTGACCACAGGCATGGGCGCCTTAATTAACGCGCTTCACACACACATGCACACACACTGGCATGCTCGGTTCTGGCTTGGCAAGATTACCCTTATTATGCTATGTTTGTGTGCCCCTTGAAAATTTCACAGCCTTTCACATGGCGTATGCGCAACGCCGCAGTTTGCCCAAATCTGGAGCTTAAGCTTTTTGGGGTCTTAAAGCTGGTGCTTCTGAAAATTTCGTCTCGAATTTTTCTATTATTTTTTAATAAATTGCAACGCTCGCATTTTTTCGCGCTTTTCTATTTTCGTGTCTTTTTTTATTGCTTCTTTTTTTTTTTTTTTTTTTTTGTCGTCCGCTTCACTTGGCCAGACGTTGGCAACTGGCGACGTGTCGTGAAACGCTTGTTGCACCCCACCAACAAAAGATTCTCGATGTCGATGTCGATGCTGTTGTTGTTGTTGTTGTTGTTGTTGGGCTGGCAGCTTCGGTTTGCCAGCGGCATTGGGGCTGCCACGTTGCCACACGCTTATCCAGCGTCATCAAACGATGTCGACAACAACGGCGACACCAATGCCTTTTGTATATATATAAATATGTATATGTATATATATATATATGTATATATTGAACATAATAGAGCATGTTAGATGAAGTAACTTTCTAACAGAGCTTGCAACATTTTAGTATAAAACAGTGATTAATAAAAATCAATTAAAAATTTTCTTTTATGCAGAAGTAAGAATATTCAATATGTTTAACAGAATTAGATAACGTAGGACAGTAGATGTATGTATATTTGTTATAAGAAATAATGTGTGTTTCTTCTGATTATAGTCTGACAGTAGAGTAAAAATAATATAAATATAAAAAAAAAGAAAACTTTAAAACTTTATAATAGAAATATATATTAATAAAAATAAACGAATAATAAAATAATATTTAAGTTTAACTTAAAGATCAAAATATTTGTTTTTATGTATAAATATTTTATTGTAAAGCCATTAACAATCATTTGCCTTCCTTGAGTAGAATTTATTCTATTTAGCTTTCTTTGAACAAAGTCAATTAGTCAGAGCATTAGCAATTCGGCGTGTTATGCGTAAAATCTCATTTGTTTGCGCTGCTGCATTATGAGCAGTTAACGTAGCCAGGGTGCTGCTGTTGGAGCTCCTGCAGCTTGAACAGGCAACAAGCGGACGCCCAGCGGTGGCAGCTGTGTCATCCTCCTGGCTGCTGCTGCTGCTGCTGCTGTTGCTGTCACCTTGTAATTTTATTTATCTATTGATTATTGAGTATCTCTTTTCTATTTATTTGCCTTTGTTTGCACACGCAACGTGCTGACAGGCAGGGACGATGAGATACAGAGAGAGAGAGAGAGTGAGAGAGAGAGTCGGCTGCCCCGCACTTGTACTAAATATTGCGTCTGGCATTTTTATTAAAGCTATTAGGGGTAGGGTTTGTTCTACTATAGCTGTCATGTGTGTCTCTATGTGTGTGTGTGTGTCTGTAAATATTTGGTGCCACTGGCTGTTTTTTAATTAACTTTAGTGACAATATTTTGCACAGTTCGTAAGCCTCCCATGCTTGGCCTAATCTGCCCCTGCAGCAGCAGCAGCAGCAACGACAACAACAACAACAACAACAACAGCAACAGCAGCAGCAGAGATAATCAAACTGTGTGCCCAAAGTATGCAAATGTAGGCAAGTGATTCTTAGGCCTGACCCAAATTCCAGTAGCAGCCTCTCTTGCACACACACACACACCCTATTCCCCTCTCCAGCTATAGCTCTGGCAGTCTCTGGGTCTCTGTTTTGTGACAGTGACACTGCCGTTGACATCTCACAACTTGCACTCTATATAAGAATCACATGTCAGCAGACGATGCAAGGCAATATCCATGGGGTGTATGGGCACAACTGCACAGCACTGCACTACACGAGACTACACTGCGCTACGTACACGCGCTTCTGTTTGTGTGTGTGTGCCTTTGGCTTGTGTCAGCTTCATTCACTTGTTGAGCGAGTTTTTCTTATCTTATCTAGTCTGGTTTATGTGTTTGTATAGTGGGTTTTTATTGAGGTTGTTTTCGCTCAATTTATTTCTTTTTTTCGGGGTAACAGGGCACTGGATATATACATATATATATATGTGTATATTTATATATATACAATATGATCCAAAAGCAAACAGCACTCTACCTGCAACTGTAAATTTAGCTAGCTAATCAGCTATTATCTCAGAACATTGAAAACATTTGATCATAACTTTCAGCTGCCTCGAAAATAAGGCAAAGCATCATCGTCTAAATGCGTGTATAACACTGTGTATAATGGATTTTGTGAGTATAATAGGAAGTGCACTAATCGGCAATCGAAACTTTTTCAGCGTATATAACGGTTGATAGCACACAAGTATAACACTCGTATAACAGTATCGAGTAATTAGTTTCTATTCAGCTTGTACGAATCTACTTACATATATAGATTGCCGTAGCTTACGCAAGTATCTTATAGATACAAATGTATCTCGAACAGTTTGGATGCGTTCTCATTAAAATGAAACACAAGTTTTGGCATATGCTACGCACTGGCTTCGCTTCAATATCAAACTGCACAAACGAAAACTTTATGAACACAGAGCGATACAGTTACTCAGAGACGGGCACTTCATCAGAGATTAGATAATGCACTCGCGAGTTTTATGTTCGAGCCGCTCGACTAGGCCAGCGAAAGGCAACTAGCAGGCCGCCCAAAAATCAACTACAAGGTACCCCTTGATTTCATAATTATTTTCACACACTCACATAGGCTCCTCTGTGTGTGTGTGTGTGTGCGTGAGTGTTATCTGTAACTGATAAGAGTGCTTATCGCGTAATTGTTCGCTGATTGTTGTCAGCCCAGGCAGGTAAACTACGATAGCAAGTCGCGCTCTAATCTATCTCTCTCTCTGTCTCTCGCTTTCTCTGTCACTCACTGTCTCTCTCTCTCTATCTTGTGTAAATATTAGCTCTGTCCGCTTGCCTAAATAGGTCTCTCAATATAGTCTTTACTTTATCTCACCCTCCTTCTCTTTCTCTCTCTGTTTCTGCGCTACCGTTGCCTCGTCGAGTTTGACTGTCATTTGTTTATTTTCTCAAGTCTTTATCACTTTTTTTTTTTGCCACAAGCCAAATGCACTTTCTGCTGGGTTAAGTTCGAAATCCCGCAGGTGCAGGTTTCATGTGTTTTATGGCTTATCGCACGCTGACTCAGCGACAGCGACAATGACAACAACTACACAACATAAATACTTCACTTACACACAATATGTATTTATTATTATTATTATTATTATTATTATTTTTTAGTTTGCTGCTTAAATCTATATAGCAATCTGTGATAAGTATTCGCACTGTGGGGCGTCCAAGCGCTTTTTATGGCCATTCACATTTTCTTATCAGCGCGTGACGAAACGACAAGCCGAAACGCCGACACATGGCCAAGAACTGAAATCGAAGTCGAATTCCCACTGCAATTGCGCGGCTCGTAACTCGCGCGTCGATATATCCGTACTATAATGCTCATAAATATAAACTAAACTTATGCACGGTCCGCAATATGTGTGGGAGTTGCTTTATATATACACCACACTCACACTCACACTCACACACACACGCTGAAAGCTACTGTGCTGTGGGCAGGCGGAAAAATAAAATAAAATAAAAAGAGACCAATGGCCAGGCCACGTCGCGTCCTATCCAAAGAATCGATGAGTTTGAAGTGCTCAAAGGAGCAAGGGCGGGGACGGTGGGGCACAGGGCTCGTGTGACCGCACAGCAGTTCACGCGCTGGCCATAACAGACAAGGGTTAGCTTTAGCTCTATATACCTGGATACCCAATCGGTCGTATAAGGCGGAACATAGCCTGCACACACACGCACACACAGGGGCATAAACACACACACACACGCACATTAAGTCTTTGTCTTTGGATATGGCCACACGGTCGTTTCTAGCAGTGCCATCAAATTATAATGCCTCCGACTATTTAGCAGTAAATGTGTGTTACTTTCCATATATAATGGCAGTACCTGCCTTTCCGGACATAATTATATAGAAGACGATCATAACAAATGTAGAAACTATGTGAAAAACGTATATTTAATTATGCATTTCACATAGTCCTGTTATTAGCCTATATATTTGACACTATGTCAATTTGCTATAAATTGTATATATTGTAATTGTATAACAGTTTGTGAGATTTTAGAAATAAATAAGTAAAAATAAGTATAACACCATTTAATATATATTTTGTTTCATTTTTTATTTTCCAACATCATATATAACAGTTTAATGGACGCACGTATGACAGCTTACGAAAACATGAGTCAAATTATATATTTGTAAATGTTATATAATAGATGTAGATCCCTTTTATTCCCTTATCTATTTCAATTTATATAATGTGCTATATTCCCCTAGCTCAGCAGGTAATAACGCTATAAAAAATAAAGTGCATACTTTTATTTGTCTGCTATACATATATACATATCTTACTGTCTCTATGCTCAACTCACTGCACTTGCCGCTAGTTTTAACCCTTTCGAATCGTATCCATGTTTGAGCCACATTTCGATTTTTCCTGCCCTTTTCATTTGCTGTCCGGCAATCAATATTGAATTGGATTTGAGCAATTGTTACAAGCCCAGCTGGGTCACTCAAGGTGAGTCTGTGTGCATGTGTATGTCTGTGTGCTTTGGTGGTAAACGTGTTAGTTAGGCAAAAGAAATTAATAATTTATACGCACGAGCTGCGAGCAAAAGGTGAATTGTGGCCCAAATAGCAATAAATCGACAAAAGATATATTTCTTTTATAGAGCGCTTGATCGAACTTGCCTCAGTAGCTGAGTGTGAGTGTGTGTGTGTATTCAATTACATCTAATTGGCAAAATATTCCAATTGTTTGGCCTGAGCCCAACTGCAAATCTGATGAATCAAACATTTTACTTTAAACTGTTATCTCTCACAGCTGAATTCAGAGTGAATTTTGGATGCTGCTGAAATAATATTATGAGGAATCAAACTGGAGAATCGAAGATGTGGCAGCCACAAAAATGTGGTGTGTGTAACAAAAGCCGAAAACACAGTTTAGTGGTTGAATAGCAGCAGAGCAACCACATGGACAAATGAGACAGCGCACTGACAGCCGACTGCAGGCAGTAGCAACAACAGCAACAACTAATAAAGCTGCCTTGGCATTACAGGTAAACAAAATGAGCAGCTACGGAAGGCAGAGCAAAGCACGCAATGAGAGTGACAGAGAGAGAGTGAGTGGGAGTGAGAGAGCAAAACTAAAACCAAATGCCAGACAAAAGGAAGCACAAATAATATAAATTAAATGTGTGTGCTTGGGCGTGAGTAGTGAGTGAGCCAATATATGTGTATGTGTGTGTGTGTCTGTGTGTATATGGCTGTATGTGTGTTCTTTATGGGTCGAACCCAAAGAAAGCCAAGCTGAGTAATTATTTCCGGCAGAGCGAACAGCAAGTCCACCTTACACAGATTGAGTCCTGCGGTTTGACTGCAACACATGGCCGGACAATTCGGCCCACAGCATAGCGAGCCACTGAGCCACTGAGCCACTGATCCACCCGGCCCCAACCAAACAAAAACGCCCGCCCTCGACTCGGAGGTGAATGTATTCGAAAATCTATCCGGGCAATAATTTCGGTTGACATGCTTGCGGTAATTATTGACCGTAATGACAAAACCCCAAAAACCAGAGAATCAGACCAAACAAATTGCTTTAGTTTTGCACTCTTGACTCGACTCTCACTCTGAGTGTGTGTGTGTGTATATATCTACGTGTGTGCGTTTGTTGTTGTGCCTTTCATTTTAATTGGATTTTGCCAACTGGCACAAAAATAGCATTAGAAAAAAGTGAAGAATTTAATTGATTTGTGCCTGAGTTATAGACGTGCCTGGAAGACGTCCGAAATTTTATGAGCGCCTCGCATAAATTTCAACAGCAATTTTTGTCAACAAAATTAAGGCCATCAAAATTGAATGCGAGATGAGAAATTTCAATCAAGCAGCCCATAAACTAAACATGAACTCTATAAATACATAAGAATATACACATATATATGTGAAGATTTATATATAGAGATATATATCATTTTTGTAGAAAAGTGGGCGATAAATACGTAAAATGAGGGATTCCAGGCATAGGGAGTTGTAGGCAGCAAAACCTCGTTACAAACAGCTTCACTTTTAAGATATACTAAAAATTATAATTAAATAATATTCCTTGCCGCGCAATGCCGGGTACGCATGAATAGCTCATTTATCTATAGCTACCTGTACAGCGCGTATTTGTGTAGTTCGTTTGATATGTGATTTTCGTTTTTCGTGATTTGTCAGCTTTCATAATATACGATCCCACGAACAGTGCCTCCCAAAACATTATCACCAAATCATTTAACTAATATATAGATGCATATGTTATTGAGTGGCGTGGCCCGGTCTGGCCTGGCTAGCACACGCATAACATGTCCAAAAAGCAATTAATAACTTGTCTATAGGCTATTTTCGGACACACCAAATGCCGGCTGTGCTAATTCTGTTTCAATGTCGACTATTTCGACGCAGATGTTGCAGAAAATTCATAAATTATGGCAATTATTCGTTTCAGTTGGAAATGCTTTATTTCTGGAATCTATCAAGTTACTGGATATTGTTTGATGGTACTAGCTGGCTTAAGGAGATGATCATTAATGTCAATGGGGTTGGTTTTAAAGTCAATATTTTATATTTGATATGGTATATAATTTATTTATATATGATAAGTTGATAAGACTTCACGCAGACTCAGAGAAGCTGAAATAGTATGGCTGTAGCTGATATTGATTTCTTTTCTTATTTTTTAGAGCAAACATAGTCGAAAATATGTTCTGAGATCCTTCTTAGATACCCTTATATGTATACTCATTCGCACTCTAAATTCAAGAATCCATTTGAGCTTAAGCTCTTTTATACTGCAAAGTAATACAAAATTCTATTACCTAAATTAATATTTCATAATTAAAGGGTATTCAGTATTCGTCATTCCTCTTGCTTGTATGTTAATATTTACCTTTTGTTTCATAATCCATAAGATGTGCACAAATATTTGTTCTTCAATCAAATTAAAAACGCTCAAGAATATTTCTAAACGCATTTGGTTTGACTACACCCTTATCTAAATACATCCTCAGCTTCAGCTTCATCTGCATCTTTAGTCTCGAGCTCACTTCGAATTCATTTTTAGTGAGTGGCTCACTTGATGGCAATTGGGAATTGGAACTATTATGCGAAAGCTTCCGCAGCACTCGCGACACACAGACGAGTTGAATGATTTCTTTGTATGACAAATTGCTTTATGGGCGTTTGCTTGGTGAAAAGGGGGCGCGGCAGTGAGACGAAGATGTCGACAGAGATGTTGAGGAACTTCTGCGTTCTCTCTCTCTCTTTTTTTTTCTCTGTCTCTCTCTCTCTCGCTCTCTCCTCGCAGTCGCCGTTAATTCACTTGATGGGTGAAGTGCGAGGTCAAATCTTTCAGTTGACACAAAGCGATCGCTCACAGATGCACACGCAAAGAAACAGATACACAGCTATAGATACAGATAGAGCGACGACATTAGTAAATAATATAAATAAACATAGTCGTCTTGATCGCACCGAAACTGCAGCTACTTGAACTGAACTTTATTTCATTTTTTTATTGACTTTATTATGATTATTTTTTTCCACCGATTCTTTTTGGCACTCGCTCAGACTTTTATAGCTGTCTTCCATAATTTTTCACTTAGAATTTTCCGCCATCACATTTATATGCACAGTAAACATTTGTTGTTGTTGGCCATTTTGCACTTTTAGCCAAAATTTTTCGCACTGCAGGCGACATGATTTCCAAAAGCAACGCACTGGGCCGTATTAACTATATACTAGCCAGATATATGTATATATGTATATATATAATATACTAGACACATATATGTACATATGTATTTGCTGAGTACATGCATATGTGGGCGCTGCCCACGATATAAACAAAAACAAGAACAACCACATGAACACGAAACGCGACAACCGGCTAAGATGCAAACGGAGACGCGAACGATGCGCGCACGCGGCTGTCGAGGCAGAGTTTGCTCTTCGCGAGGAGCAGCGCTGACAACGTCCAAGTGAGCACTGAGCCAATCGACTTGACAGTCGGCAGTCCATGGAGCCCATAGAACACAGCGGCAGCAGCAACAACAACAACAATGTTGACGCCAGCGCTGCGAAAAATGATTTTTCCGAATATATCAAATAAATATATAAATATAATAATCACACAAAAAACAAAAAAAGAAAAAGATGGGAAATATATAAATTATATTGCATATCGCTGCTGCCCGTTGAATTTCATTTAGAGACTAATTAATTTTTCAGCTTCTGTGGAGGGGTGGACGCAGGTGGCTGGGGCGGGGGTGCTTGGGCTTGCTGTGGCAAGACGACGACACTTTTGCATGTTGTACATAATTTCAATCAAAACTGAAATTAGCAACAAAATTCAGGCAGCGTTGTTGCTGCTGCTGCGTTGTGCTCAAGTTGTTTGTTGCATTTGCTGCTCTGTTTATTTGCCGACTGAAAGAGGCGTCTGTCGTTATCAATTAATGTCCACAGCGGTGACAGAAGAGCTGTGTAACAAAGAGTCAGGGGGAGGGAGAGAGGTAGAGAGAGAGAGACAGCGGTGCTTGTGCGTGAAAGAGAAAGAGAGAGAATCTCAGCAAGCAATAATATGGAAATTCTTCTTTAATAACAAATCTCTGCTACTCTCTCACTCTCACTCTCTCACCCTCACACTCTCTCGCTAAATTTTGTTTCTTTACTTCATGCCCGCCTCGCTGTCGCATCGCAGCGCCAAAAACAGATGTTTTTCTTTTATTTTTGATGCGTGCTCCCCTCATTTGCTGTGCCGCATTGCGGAGGTGAGTTCTCTAAGTGTTCCCTTGACATTTTGTCAGTCGAATTAAGCGCTCATTAGCTCGACTGCGATCGCGTCTTCCACCCACCTCACTTTTATTGTGGGGTCGCTGCTGCGTGCGACGCTATGCCCAAGCCATGTATGTGCACACACTTATACATACATATATGTATGTAAATACATAAATTTTCTTTTATAAATTGTGTATTTGTTAGGAATCTGAAATGTTTCGCTTGATTTGATAAGCTTATTAAGCTGCTGCTGTGGCAAGTGAAGATTGACTGCTTGACTTCTACAAACTAATTTATTTTAAGTTATGTATATACTATGCTCGAGCATGTCAAACATATATACATATACACGTACATGTGTAGGTGATTAGCAAGGCAATTGGACAAAGGTTTTTGATAGTCAGTTGGTCTTTTATTGGGAATATTCATATACATATCTACGGTATTATATTGTGATACAATCTGTATTCGTAATCTTATAATTATTACTATTCTTTTTTATTATTATTACTATTATTGATAAATTTGTAAAGTAATATTTATAGTCTTAATAAATTATTATAAATTTAGTTCAACCATGTTCGTTGGCTGCATCAGAAAAATACCTAAATTTTCAATAATTATTAGCTAACTGCAGCTTGTACCGTGTGCCCTGTGATCAGTTTTCAGTGTGTATAGAAAAAACTCAAGAAAATGAATCGCTTTTTTTTATAAAAGTTTACAGCTAGAAGCAGCTTTTCTTTTATACCTAAACTGTTTACATACAAAATATTTTCTTTTTCTTGAAAGGCATTAAAGGATAATCGATTCAGGCCGAACGGTTGCTACGAAATGAGGACAAATATAAAGTGAGGCATGCCTGCTCAGCTGATACCCAGTATATAATGATGTGGACTTCCTGAAGACCAAAAAGATTTGCTTCAATTGTAGATTAATCTTGTAATACAAATGTATACAGGGTATATGAGCTACAGACCCTGTCGAGTGGAAAAATCTTACACGTGCCTACTTTTCACTTTCCCGTAGCGTCGCTCATTGCGCTCCCATCCAAAAACAATTTATGATAATCACATGAATCGCAATTGAAAACAAAAGCGCATCAACCACTGTGCGATTGCGTGTGTGTGTGTGTGTGTGTGTGTGTGTGTGTGTGTGCATCACAGGGCTATTATTAACAACACTGTGCAATAACTCAAGTCGAATATTCGTTTTATTTTCCTCTCCTTTGGCTGTTGTCAGGCGATTGTCAATGGCTGGCTGCCCGTGCGGGGCTTGGAGCACAGATCGTAAACCGTTTTAATTGCGACGGGAGAATCAATGCGATTCCGCGGCGACAAAAGAGAGAATTTGCCACTAAATGTGCACTGCATAAAATACTAAATAAATATGCCAAAGGCAGACCGAAGCAGCCAAAAGACGTCAACAAATGGCAAATCTGTTGTCGCGAACCCCTTTCACTGCTGCCCCCTCCGCGCCACTGGTGAACTTGAGCTAAAAATTATCAGCAAAAATGGGCGAGGCACTCGGCGGGGCGGCTGGCTGCACTCCGAGCATAATTTTGCACGTGCTTCGCATAAGTTGAGAGCAGTGGCGAGCTCCATCGAAAAAGTTCTTGGGGTTTGGGCGTTTCGAGATAAAACTTTGCCTGCCACGCCCATTCGAGTTTTCGGGTGCGCTTAAAAATGCGCGACCGCATTCATTAGCGCAAATGGCTTAAATACTTGGCTCGCAAATGTTGTGCGGCAGCTTAAGCAGTAGTTGCTCCGCCCCCAGTACCTCAACCCGCCTACAACTGCAATCGCTTTGGTTTGTTTGTTTGACTTTGAGCTTGGCCCGTTATGCAGCGAAAGGATTAAGTTTTCACAGAGCCCCCGGCAAGCTCACACACACACACGCACACGCAGGCAAAGTTTGAGCAGCAGCCAATACACCGTTTGCCCACACCTTCCCCTCACCTGCCCCGCCCTGCTCAGCCATTCCCTTACCTAACTAAGTAGTTTGCCAATCGTTCGAAGCAGCGAGAAAAGTATTCGCATTTCGCCATAGATTTTCTCTTATCGTTGCGTTCGCATAGTTCTCGCTCTGCGTGGGTGAGTGGGGGCGTGGCCGTGGACATTGCAATGCATTGGTGTGGAGCAGCAGTTGCATTTCTTATAATCGCTGCATACTTTCAGGCACAGGGCGTAAATTCTTTGTGCGCATATTTTGCATTTTCCCCAACAAATTGCCACAAATTATCGCCCAATCCCATCCAATGCATTTACAATTTCACATATTTCGTTGTAGTTTCGCCCAGTTGCGGTCAGCCTGGCGTTGCGTCATTTTCCGTTTGTCTAAGTGGTGCGAGTTGCGAGTGGTGCAATGACCCGTGACCCGAGCCTTCTATTCGACAGAAAATTTCAAGCTTTGATGTGGCCAAATTTCATTAAATAAATTGCATTAAATATTTAGAGTTGATAATGGAAATGTTTAAGCGTTATAATTATGTTGGATTAATCTTAAAATATTTAATTATAAATAATTATTTGGATATATAGCATATATTTGGATATATAATAATATATAATATGCAAGTGTAATATAATTTTGGATCGCGCTGCGTATTTTAATATGTCAGGCATTGCACTTAAAGCATATAGAGTTACATATTTTTTTGTATATATATATTTATATTTATATATCTATATATATTGTAGCTGCAATGGAATCAATATTCTCTCAACTATCTACTATTTCAAGGTCGAGAGTATGGATTGTATACTCACTCAAAATATTTTAAAATATTTCCCAATAATTAAATTAATTGAAAATAAATATACATACATACCTTTATAGAATGTATAACTATTTATAATAAATACAAATATAATGAATTACTATTATACAATGTAATTTTTAAACAAATAACATTTAAATGTTATTTGTAATTTAATCATAATTCATAATTTTTAGCTACGTTAATTCTATTCACAATTATTTCCTTTATCCTTAACATTGCCTGATTTACATTTACCTCTTGCACCTGTGCGTGTTTGAATTATTCCTACCTCAATTTTTATTTTTTTTATTTTGTTGAGCAGCGCTATCAAACAGCTTTCAGGTGTAACAACTCAAATCTCTTTTTCGGTCTCAAATTATGCAATTAAACAGTGCATTTTGGCAAAGTTTCCGTTGATGTCGACGTCGACAGCGACAGCGACAGCGACGTCACGTCGACGCTCAACGCTCACTTAGCAACATGAATAAAATTAAACTCACGGCCGAAGTTTTTCTTTTGGCAGCAGCAGCGGGCGGAACTTGAGCATATTTCAAATACTGAATGAATTTTGCACATATTTCAAACTTAACTTACTTTTCTTTCTTGCCCCTCCTCTATAGCTATATATATGTATATAGTTTTATTCTTTTTTTTTCTGGTTTTCTCTACTCGAAAAGTTTGCCAGCAGCTAGCGAGTAAGAAGCCCCCGTAAGGCAAGTTTTTACCAAACTCTTCTTGATTTTACTTTTAGCTTCAGGCAAAAAAAAAAAAAAAATATATATATATATATATATATATATGTATACATAATGTTATATATGCATGATGTAAATAAATACTAAAATTGTTTATAGCGCTACTTTGGCGCAAAATGTATGTCAAAATTAATTAATTTCCTGATTTATGCGGCGCAAAAGTTTTCAGTTTCAGTTTTCCCACTTTTCGAGTTCGTCTGGTCAAGCTTCTGAATGTTGGTAATATAGGAGGGACCCACGAAAAAAGAAAAAAAAAAACAGACGGAGAGGAAAAATATATAAGTTAAAATATTCAAATAAACAATAGAAGACGTAGATATACGCTCTTCATGTTAAGGAAAATCTATTATATAAAAATATCGTTTTAAGCTAAAAATCAAGAGAGAAAGAGATAAAAACGAAGAGCAAGAAGCACAGCAATCTCACTGCTCTCTCCTCGATTGAACTAAAATAATAATTTATAATAT